GTCATCATTTAGAGCATCAATCTGTAGATGTTCAGTGCAATTCTGGCTACAGTCTTCCAAATGGACAAAGCACAATTACATGTACAGAGTATGACTGGTCCCCTCCTCCCAAATGCATCCGTGTCAGTAAGTAAGATCCTAGAAATTTTATAAGGCTGGTGTATATTAACCATGACAAAATGCACGTATCAACTTCTCTTTTCCCAATGGAAACTTTAATTTTTGATCCAAGTTTGTATAAGTGTGTATACAAATCTCTTGATAAATATTTAGCAAAATAAATGAGGCTATTTGTAGATTTTAGTTAAGAATACATTAAAATAATTTTGAATTTATTACTTGTTGGTAAAAGTGAGTCACATTTAATATTTACACTGAAATCACTAAATTGGTTTACTCAGAATGATTGTAAAATTCTAGCCAAAATATCATCCATATATTCAAGCAGTAATTCAACATATATTTCTGCTATATGTCTGTTTCTCTAGGATATATAGCTAGGAATGGATTTTTTAGGACATTATGTATATTCCACTAAGAAGGTGATTCCTAACTATTTTCCATAATGGTTGTATCAGTATACATTTATATCAACAGTTCCTTGTTGCTGTACATCCTTGTTAATGATTGAGGTTACATACTGATATTTACAAAATGAGTGGTTGTAAAATGTTATAGCATTAAAGTCTTAACAAACATTTCTTTTATTAATTTAGTTGAGCATATACTCAATTTTATTGGCAATTTATTTATATATGAAATGCATTGATGTTTTTCTTTACCTTTTTAGGGGTTTTTTGGTCTTGATTTGTTGGAATTGTCTATTCTGAATATTAATTCTCTTTCACTTATAAGTATTGCAAGCAATTTCTCCTGTTCTGTTTCTATTCTTTTACTACATTCAATGTTATTCTTTTTTTCATGATTAATGCTTTTGTGTCTTACTTCCAGAACATTTCTCTACATCAAGGACATAGATAATGCTGCATGTTGTTTTTAAAAGTTTTAATATTTCACCTCTCCTGTTTATATATTCAGTCTATTTTGGGGTTGATTTTTATGCATGGTAATAATTAATTTTTGTTAAAAAAATATGAAAAACTCAAATTTTCCTCAGTAATCTGTAATTGTACCTTTCCCATGTATTATAAATTATATATTGGCTATTAATATGAGCTCTGTAGTCTCTGGCATAAGTAAATACATTTTTCACCAGTGTTCCAGTGTTACTATATTGTTTTAATTGCTGTAAATTTAAATAAGGCTGGACACGTATTCAAAACTTTTCGCCCTAATATTTTTTCTTCATCATTTTCTTATTTTTTCTTGTGGCTTTAATCTGACATATGCATTTTAATTCAGTTTATTAAGTTCCTTCTAAAACTTTATATAGATTATATGGAATTATCTTAGACCTCCAGATCAATTTATGGAAAACAAGTATCTTTATGATATTGAGCCTTCCTACTGATTAATATTATATATTTAAAATTTTATTTAGATGTCTTAGTTACCTAGTGCTGCTATAACAGAAATACCACAAGTGAATGTCTTTAACAAGCAGAGATTTATTCTCTCTCAGTTTAGGAGGTTGCAAGTCTGAAATTAGGGCACTAGCTCCAGGGGAAGGCTTTCTCTCTTTCTTGGTCTAAGGGGAAGTCATCAATCTTTCCCTGTTCTAGGAGCTTCTCAGTGCAAGAATCCTAGTCTGAAGGACTCACTCCACTCCTGGCTCTTGTTTCTTGGTGGTACTGGGTCCCTCTCCTCTCTTCTCACTTCTCTCTTTAATATCTCAAAAGAGATTGACTCAGATACAGTTTAATCCTGTACGTTAACATAATGGACAGCTCATTCCCAAACAGGATCATAGCCATAGGCATAGAGGCTAGGATTTACCACACACAGGATAATTACATCAGATCACGAAATGGAGGGCAACCACACAGTACTGGTTATTATGGCCTAGCCAACTTGACACATATTTTGGGGGTCATAATTCAGTCCATGACATGTGGTCTTTATGAATGTCTGCTAGTTGTTTTCTATTATGCATTTTTGCTTACGAAAATTTCATAATTATTATGCATTATGTTTTTTATAGATAACATGTTTATTACTTACTTAAACTTTAGAAATGTTCTTTTAATATTTGGTGATTTGATTAATATTATTAATCTTGCTTAAAATTTGAAATTAGATTTATT